CGATGGGCAGGAGCGGGGATTGCTCTCAGGAGCAGCCGAGCTCTGCATCAAACACACCGGCGAAGGTCAATACGAAGCCGTTAGTGCTAGTCAACGACGACGACGATGAAGATGACGACGACGATTATGTGCCTACGGAGCCCGAGGACAACTCAGACACTAGTGAGGAAGAAGATGGTGAGGAGGAGGAGGCGAAGCCAGCTCAGAAGAGTAACACACTGGTATCTCAACCTGTACCGATGGTCACGCGAACCTCTACATCCACAGGCCCCTCTACAGATGGCGGGCGCTTCCCAACTACCAACCGCGATATGTACAGCCCTCCCTTGGCAGGAAAGCGCCGTTCGCAGGACGCCTTCGAGGATGAGAGCATGGACGGCAAGCGCCGCAAGGGGATCGACGGCGAGGTCCTCGAGGCAGGCGCAGCTCAACAGCAGCAAGCGTCTACGAGTGGCTTTGGTGGTTTCTCTGGCAACAGCAGCGGGCTTGCGGGGGCGTCTGGCAGCAGCGGCTTCGGCAACAGCGCGCCGGCCTCGTCGTTCCAAAGCTTTCCGAGATCTCAAAGCTTCCCGGTGTCACAGAACTTCCCGGCATGTCAGAACTTCCCTGTGTCCCAGAGCTTCCTGGCGCCTTCCTCGTCATCCGCACGATCTTCCTCATTCCAGACTTTCTCTGCGCCTCCGCCAGCCTACAACTCCGCGCCGTTCAATGCATCGTTCTCTGAGCCAAGTCAAAACTGGACCTTTGTCAATGCTTCAGTAGACTCTTTCGCCGCTCCAATGCCTTCCTCCAACCTCCAGGCGAACCGGTCCTTCCATCCGACGAACCACTTCGCTAACGCCTCCTTACAATCCTCCACTACCCCATCACCTCCCTCGTACACATTTGCTAGCTCGGGAGACGCCTTCGGTATGCGCCGAAGTGCACCACCGCAATTCGGACAAGCCTCTGGATTTGCTCAAGACCATGGCCTCGCCTCATCTACAAATACGGTCGCGCCTTATGCTATAGCGACTGCCGCATCGGTGAATATGTCGACTTCAGAAGATTCGATGGTGCGTCACTTTGCGACCTCTGGTAAATGGTACGGCTAACGAGCGAGTGCAGGTGCCGTCGTTCAGTGTGCAACCAGAGCAGGCAATCCCTGAAGTCCCGTTTGACTCAACGTTAGCCCACTCTAACGCCTACGACGTACTCAAAGCGATCGATGATGTCGTGGCATCCATCCATACACCCGTCGCGTCTGTCTCTCGACCATCGTACTCTGCGCCTCGCACATACGTGCGATCGCAATCTCTTCCTACCATAGTTCCTCGGTCCCCGCCATCGTTCATCAGCGAGCTGATACGGCGTCATCCGTGTGCACCGTTCACCTCACAACCCCGAGTGTCGTATCCCGTTTACGCGGCTGGTCCTAGCGGCTTATTGTCCAGTACTCGTGGCCCGGACAGCCGACGGCTTGAAGCAAAGGCCCGAACGCCAAAGCCGGAGGCCTCCGCCAACGCTGTCACGACGTGGACGCCGGCACTCAACGAGATGCCACATAAGATAGCTGTGAGTTCATGTCTCATTCGAATGCCTAGTGCCTTTGACTGACATCCAATGTAGCAAGCCGAGGCGCGGCTAACGCGCAAAGATGACGCACGGCGAGCGCGCGAGGAGACAGAGCGAGTGTATAGGAAGGAGCAGGAGCGCGAGAGGCAACGGGCTAAAAAGGCTCAGGCTCAGGAGGTGCTTCGAGAGCAGCGCCGGAGAGAGCGAGAGGAGCAAGAGGCACGCCAGGCTGAGGAGCGGAGAGCGGCAGCATTTCCAGTCCCGCTGTTCATGGTCATTGAAGAACGTGAGAGGAAGGCGGCCAGACGCACCGACAATGGAGAGAAGCGCGCGGTCATCTTGAAGAACCGGGGCACAGTTGGGGACCGGAGCACGCGTCGGCCATCGAGCGAAACACCACAAGAAGACGACTGCAAAGACGATGGTACCGCTGCCTCAGGAAGCACGTCCTCGGAAGGCAGCGTCGGTAACTCAGATCAGAGCTCTGATCTATCTGACTGCGAGCTCGCAGCTGGATGGGGTTCACGGCTGCGCTCCATGGTTTCCTGGGCGCTTCCTTCAACCAGTACCTAGGAGCTTGACTGATGTATATATCTGGTGGTTTCTACGCGAGGAGATGCAGATTAGCTCTTGTCCTGTGATGAAAGTTAATTGGTGACAGTTCAATATTAATACAGGCAGTTTTCTGTCATTGCAGTGATACTGAACCGTAGATAGTGTCACTATATTAGAGGTGTAATTGGCATAGCTTTCTCTACATATAGTGAGGTCCATCTTGCATTCGTAATGCTTGCTATGTGGAATCCAGCCACCGAAGCGACTCAGGAGAGAGGGTATTTACCCACACGGCGTGCAGTGGCGAAATGTGACATCCGGGCCGACTCGAACCGGCCTTCGTTCTTCTTGAAACCCACGCTACTGCCGCATACTCCAACTTGTTCTTGACTTGCACCATCATTGCATGCCCTTTGATCTGCACCTATGAGAGGTTCGCCAAAGTGGTATTCAAGCTATCAATAGTGTCAGAATGCTGATCACACCTAACTCTCAGATCAACGTCAAGCATGCCGTCTGGAAAGGAAACCTTGTTGAAAGCTTTGAATTCGCTGACTCCCGCATACCCTGCCCTCTCCAAGGATGAGCGGGCACGTCGAGGCCATAAACTGATCCACATCATGGAGGACAAAGAAGCATTCATCGACCTCTCATTGGATCCCCATTCCCTCGTAAACGATGGCCGCATCGATCTCCCCGTTCAATTGAGCCTGCCGTCTCCCGCACGCGAGGCCTGGAAAGCCCTGCTCATCTTCATGCCTCTGCTGAACATCGTCCACATGGAATCGAACAGATTCGATAAACCAGACTCTCCCCTTTGTAAAGTCACTTTCCGCGAGTGGCCCAATGCGATGCGATGGGTCGCCTTCTTCCATCCCAAGTCTGGAAACGTCGCCGTGTCTAATCAGGAGGCGGTTCTGAACACGCTGCGGAATTTCTTTTCGACCACATGCGAGATGTACGAAGGGAACCGCATCATGCTAGAAACTGAAGGCGCACTCTCGCTTCTTCTTGACCTCTGGCTGGACTACTTCAACTACGTCCCGACAGCGACTCTGCGGGGGAATGCACGGCAGGTCCTCAAGGACGAATACTCGCTGCTCCTGGCTATATGGCGCTTCTTCTCCGAAGTGCCGAATCCGGGTCGGCTGACATACCCGCCTGCAGTGCGCGTCGTTGATGGCCTACTCGCCCTCACAAACGGTAACGCCCGTCGCCTCCACAAGAAAGCTCTATCGCAGCGCGTAGCGCGTATCCTCACACTGCAATCCATTCCCACCCACGACCTTGCGGAGACCATTAGCACAGTCGAAGAATTGATGGCCCTCGTCAACCGAAGGCATCCTGGTCAGTGGCCTCGCAAAGTCATATGCACCCTGGTACGTGCCTGGAAGATGACTGCCCATCTCTCACAAGGCGAGGAAGTCGCGCTGGCTTGTGCCCACATCTTCATCACATTCCACGCTCGCGGCTCCTCCGATTACCGATACCTCACCTGGGCTATACGCGCGGGTCTCATTCCTCTCCTCTTCCAGCTTATTCGGATGCATACTAGCACAGGAACTCAAGCAACACCGCCTGCGCTGTTGCACTACATACGCGTGCAGATGGTCTATCGCAACTTCGTTCGGGTCCTTCGCCGTTACGCAGGCTCTGCCATGGTCATCCGCGAAGGCGATCTTCCCTATGTCGAGCAGTTCATCCGACATTATGAGAACAGCGTTCAGCTCATAGAGAAAACCGCCGACTTCCGTTGGACGCCTATCTACTGCGCCAACAAAGGGGTGAGTGAAAGCTGGCTGGCTCAGACTTCTTGCTGGCCTTCAAGTGGTCAATCTCGTGCTGAACGTCTTTCGTAGTGCTCCCTAGCTATGTCAGAACATGCACTGAAGAAATGCGCCTGCCGCGTGACGTATTACTGCTCGCAAGAGTGCCAGTCAGAAGACTGGAAGGCCCGACATAACCGGCAATGTGCTCCCGCAGTCGGGCAATTCGTGCGTAGAGTCGGCGTTCAGCCCTGGGAATTTCGCTGAATCCTACTTTCAGCGGGGGACCTCTCCATTCACAGCTTCCGATACGCGATAATCAGCGTCAGGGATCACGTTAATCAACAAAGGGAAACCGTCTCAGCAGTCATTGCCGGCTGGCAAAGCCGTAATCCCCTCGCACTGGCCTCCAAGGAAGCCATCATCGTAGTCGACTACACCGCCATTAACGAGCCCGCGCTAAACAAGGGCGTAGACCTTTACGGTAAATGCGCACCAACGGTAACTGCGAGACCTGCAAATGAAGGCGAACGCGCCTGGAAGATAGAAGCCTTGCTTCCACGAGGGGGTTGCGGCAGTCTGGCTATAAATTGCGGAGACTTCACCGTCGAAGAGCTGCAGAATCGGGGGATCCGATGGATGCTAAGCCCTCGTGGTGAGCACCATGGAGTCTCGAGAACTTATTGCAAAGTATCTAGAACATCATATGTAGGACAAGTATAGTACGTACGCGCAGTTTGCGCGAAGTTGAAATCGGCGTCCAACGATGTACGGTCGCTCCTAGAGTCCTAAATTCGGCGGACACTCCGGATGTTCAGGCCATGCATAGCTCGCGCAGCGAGCGGCTCCATGGCCAAGCTGTGCACGACATAGTCTCCCTGCACGACGCGCATTTTGTACCACGCGGCGATGATACAGTAAGTATACAGTATCAAGTTCGGTCGAAGTTCGAACTTTCAAGAATGGCAAAGGGACGATCGATCGACGACTACTCTTCAAATATGGGATAGAAAAGCATGTTCTCGCAAGGCGCTGTTCATTCGGGATTGTTGTGGGTACGCTTTTGACTGCGATGAGACCTACGGCTGAGTCGTGTCAGATCCCTAATTCTATTCATGCCTGCAGGGTCCTGTAGTGTAGTGGTTATCACTCGGGATTTTGATTAATTACGTAATTAATTATTACGTCATTTGGATTCCCGGAACCCTGGTTCGAATCCTGGCAGGACCTATTTATTTATTACGCGCTGATTCTGTTTTTGCTCAAGCAAACTTGAGCGAGTTCTTTTTTCCTGCTGGAAGACCTGGAAGCGATGTTTACAACCCAGCCTGCCTTGCAAACGGGGCTGCTGTGATAATGATATGCAAGTTCAGATGGTACAAACATGTATGAAGCGACGTAATACTACTCAAGCGAAAGCGAAGGTAAGCAAGGATATAGTACAGCAGGGGATGGACCGCTGCGAAGGTTATGTATCCAACATGTCATATATCTCGTTCGGCGTCTGCATCTCCTCAGGCGATATCGGCGTTGGCGACTGCATGATCTCCTCCGTCTCCTTCTCCTGCATGATAGCCGCTTGTCGGGCGACCGATGCGTGCTCGTAGTCCTTGCCCATCGGGATTTCCTCCGGCGCGGCCTGCCCCTCCTCCTCCTCGTACGTCGCCAGCGCGGCGCGGAACTCGAGCATCCAGGCATGGTCCATTAGCTCCAAGGCGGAAGGCCTCTTCAGCGGGTCGATGATGAGGCATTGCTTCAGGAAGTCAACCCCGAGCGGGCTGAGCTGGCCGGGCTCTGGCAAGGGAGGATGCTGCGTCGCGACACCGATGTGGAACATGATCGCCCTACAAGGTCATGAGTCGATTACTTCACGACGAGGACAGGTGGTAGAGGGACTGACCATTCGTTGTCGAGATTACTCCAAGGCTTCTTCCCAGTTGCACACTCAAGAACGACACAGCCCATGGACCAAACATCCATCGCACCCTGTCGCCCTTTTCTGTCGTTCTTGATGATCTCGGGCGACATGTACATTGGGGTCCCCGTCAGACTGTTCATGCCTGGCGGTTTGCTGCTCGTGTTGAGACTTGGCGCCGCCGTAGTTGGCGCGGGCTCTGCAGGCCCCCCTCTCCAGGTTCGCTGCACCGTGCGCGAGTTCTTCGCGAGGATCTTGGCAGCACCAAAGTCCACGAACTTGATGACACCAAGATGGTCGAGGAGGATGTCTAGAGCAGTGTCAAAAATCGCACCAGGAGAATGATCAATAAACGTACTGTCAGGTTTGACGTCGCGATGCACGATGTTCTGCGAGTGCAAATACGCCAAACCCTCCAGCATCTGCATAGTGTAGACCTGGATGATGCGCTCGTCCTCAATCCGTCCATGCTCCAACAGCGCCGCCATACTCCCGCCCTGGCAGTACTCCTCGAAGATGTACACCTTGTCGCGATGAACCTCGATACCGTAGTACTCAACAATATTCGGGTGGTGCAGCCGCTCCATCACACTCAGCTCTGCCTTCACCTGTTGGTACAGATTTGGCAACCCGGACAGCTCCTGGAACTTGATCTCCTTCACCGCCATCAACGAGCCCGAGTCCAGATTGACCGCCAGATATACCGACCCGAAGGCGCCCGAGCCAATGAAGCGTCCCTGCTGCCAGCGAATGGCGAAGTTCGAGCTGCTGGACGCGAGGAAGACGAGTGTGCGGTCCTCGAGCTTCTCCGTGTCGAGCACGCGGCCCAGCACACGCTGCTCCGAGCCGACGAAGTTGCGCTCGCTCTCTAGCTCGTGCACCGCGCGCGAGACGCGATCCCAGAACATGCGCGTGCTCTGATCCGTATATGCGAGCCGCAGTTCTGACTGGTCGGGCGAGAAGGGGCGCTCCAGCTCATCGCTCTCGAGCTCGCTGTCCGCCGCGATCTGCCGCAGCTTCTCCTTCTGCACCTGCTTCTCCCGCGCCGCAACCATAGCCGAGCGGGCGCCCAGTAGGTCGAAGTGTGTCTGCAAGAACCGCATGCAGATGGCGACATTGTGGCGCAGCATTCGGTACTGCTCTTCTGGCAGAAGGTGAATGTACCGGCGTGTCCTGCTGTTCGTGAATTCCAGCGCGTTCACTGCCCAACGGAACGTCTTGCGGTCATTGTGGTCGCAATCGTCGCAGATAAACGAGAGCCATGAGATCGCGAGCTTGATGAGCAGGCGATGGAAACGCAGCAGCTGCGAGCGGTCCATGAACTTCTGCGCATGTTGGCCATGTTCAGACGCGAAGAGGTACCAGTTCTCGAGGAGCTCCTGACAGCCTTCCGTGCCGCGCAAAGCAGTCCGGAGATGATGAACGGAGTCGACGATGGACTCGGCGAACTTCGTTGTCGCGCGCGAAATTTTGCGCAGTTCGCGGTTGACCGACGGTAGGTGCGCTTGCTGTTCCGTGACTACAGGAGGCGGGTCCATCATGCGCTCCAGCTCCTCGCCATCCTCGTCGACAGGGAAGAAGGTCTCGAGGAACACCGTCTTCGCCATGGCTAACCGCGCTTGAGGGCCGTCTGCAATCAAGCGTACCCGATCATCCTTCATCTCCAGCTCAATCTTCTCCATGTTCAGGGCCATGTACGTGCCGTTCCAGACGAACGGACTGCGCGGTGAAAGAACAAGCAGGTAGTTCGGCTCGTCCTGGGGCCACGATGTCCGCTCTTCCTCTTCTCCTCCTTCGGCCGGCGGGCGAGGCGTTTCTTCTGGCTGAAGCTCCGGCACCGTCCATGCTTCGGTCAAGATCTTGCGAACCGCGTCTGGGCGATTTGCGAGACTGCTGGAGGCGACGATATACCGACCGTCCTCCTCGAAGGAGTAAGTGTAAACCAAGACGTGGCCAGTTTGAGCAAGATAGGAGATGAACGTGTCCAGCGGCACACCGTCGAGAGTGTACTCTGCCGAGTTACTGAATCGCTGCGTGAGGACCCTGACACCGGATTTCAGTTAAGTGCACTAGGAAGCAAGGACCGCGAAGTACCTCGTGAAGCGCTGCAGCTTCCGATAACGTAACCGAACGCTGTCCAACATCTTGTTATACCAGTTGACCATCTGCTGGTCGCTCATCTTGCGGTTGGCAGGCGTGACAGCGCCGCTCCCGTTGGCCGCGCCATTCGGCCCTCCTGCCTCCGAGTCTCGCCGACGATGTGCGGCGGCGTGGCGGTGCTCGTTAGGATCCTCGCCAGTCGGTACACGAACCTGGGTATCGAAGTAATTTGTCACTCGAATCATCAACCGATTCGTCAGTGAGCTACGCTTGGAAGAAAACAGATGAGCGGCGGTACGGTGAATATGTCGTTTTCCTACCAAAGTTGTTCTGCTACGACGCAGGACCCTCCTGCCGCCGTCGATGCGACGTCGTTGAACGTCGCCCATTGGCCCTCCAAGACATCCGTCTCCTTGAAGTAGATGCCCTTTGCGCCACTCTTCAACTTCCAATGCAGCAGCCGGAAGAATGTCATGAGCGCCTCCAAGGTGGTGTTGTCATAGTCGGGGCTGATGCATGGCGGTAAGTCCCAATGGCCAGATGGATCTGGCGCGTTCAGCGCCTCGTACTGGCGCTTGAGCGTGCAAGTGAGACCTATGCTGACGCGCATGTCCTCAATCATCTGGTCGATGATCATGTTGTCTGGATTCTGCAGCTTCGAGACGTAATCGAGACGGACGCGTAAGCAGGCCTGTGTCAGCCGAGTGGGGAAGGACAAGAGGGGGATGAGCTCTCGTTCAAATGTGGGGAGGCGCATGGTAGAAAAGAGCTCGGCGTAGGTGATTTGTGCGTGGCGGGCGGAGCCAATGAGTGCGTGGGTGACGACGAGCGAGCCCTCCTCGAAGGTGCGCTGCATGGACTCCTCTTTGAGCACGCGCTCAACGAAGCTGATACCGTCGGTGATCTCGCCACCGTTGGACGTGCCGATGGGCATTTCAGCGGACGTGTATGGCTGATTGACATCGAGCTTCTCGCTGCCCGTCCAACGCTGCAATCGGGTTATGTGGGCGCGGAGGGAGGTGATGAGAGTGGACCAGGTGTTGAGCGCATCGACGCGTGTCATGAATGCAGGGTCGGCGGCGGCAGGACGGTCCAGTTGCATAGCCTTGAGATTTGGGTAGAGGGACATGGCAATGTCGAGACGGTGGTTGAGACGGAGGACGTCGTTGAGCGCACTTGAGGAATCGTCCCCCCCGTCAGCCGCTGGGGTCGCGGCGAACGTGTTGATGTCGTGTATGAGGGGGTCAACGTAGCGCAGGCGGCGCTCCTCGAGGATCTTTTTCTCGTCCTCAATGTCACGCGAGTGGAACTTGGCGCGAATGGCGAGCCAGATATGGACGTGCGGGTTGTTCGTCTCGTCAACCGAGTTCTCGAGCGCCATCGCTATGCGTGTCTTCTCGGACTTGAGAACATTGCCGGAAAGGACGGAGTTGAGCCATGCGATCCAGTGCTCGCGCGGAGGCTCGCCGTCCTTCTGGACGCTGGGGCTGGCGGTGATGTCGGCGTCTGCCAGGAGGCCTGCGACACGATCGAAGGCGGCGTCTCCTGGGCCCAGTGGGACATGCGCCAGGTCCTCGTCGTCGCTGTCGCCAGCATCGACGAGCTGACCGAGACCGCGGTGGAAGTAGTGGCTGTCCGGGTCGTTGCGCGGATCGTCCTGCTCGCCTGGGCCGGCGGAGCGGTATCGCTGCATGAACTGCGCGTAGAGGTCAGAGTATTTGGGGACGTAGGAGGGCGTCTGCGGGATGCTGAGCGGCGGGGGCTGGAGGGGAGTGGTGTAATGATGCTGTGAGCGGAAGGAGCTTCTGAGCGAGCCTGTTGAGGAGAGGGAGCGGTTCTGGGGAAACGGGCGGGAGAGGGTGCCGACGTTCCAGTCGTCGTCGTCGACGCCGTCCTCTACGCCGTCTACCTCGACATGCGGGAAGAGCGTTGGATGGTGGCGACGCATGACATTCGCCTTGCCGTCGTCGGCGTAAGAAGAAAGATCTATTATAATCGTTCTCCGGCGATCTTACGCTTGATGAGTCCGGTCCGAACTTGCAGGCGCGTCTCTGGGTGTTGGCGTGTACAGCTGCAGTATTATGAAGGAAGGAAGGAAAAGGGAAGACGGCTATGAACTTCATCTTTATTGAGACTACTTTCAGGAACGGCCATGTTCGACTCTAACTATGACGAGGTGACGAAGCGCCCTTACTTTCATCGACGGTCTACATAT